TTGTTTAGAATTTAATTCTCTATTTAATGGCGTTTGAACGAAGTTTCTATGATTCATCGTTGAGGAGTTATTTGAAATTTAGAAAAAGTGGAAAATTTAAACTTTAAATTTTATTTCAAAATTTTAAATTTTGAGTTAGAACCTCGAATTTTTTTTAAAATGACCGCCATTTCACGCTGATTCCGAATCTGTATTGTAAAGTGAATTTTAGTCGCTGCGTTTTTTCAGAAAGTCGTTTTTCTCAAAGCCGGTAGGCCCAAAACCACGGTTTTCTGGAAACCCGATTTCTGAAGGTCCTAGAAAGAACGTCCAAGAGATAAAAAGAAAGAGCATCGTTTCAAACCGTTAAGTTCCAAAAGAAAAGTTCGTAGCTTATAAACTGGCGGAGATAGCCTGCACCAACATTCTAATGTTACACGCCTATTCTGACTCTCAACTATATAATGATGAAAACAATGTTGAAAAAAGTTCAACAATATCAGGCGATAAAATGATTAGCGAGTGAGAAAGGCAACTCGAAGTCTCAGATCCATCTAAATAGGAAAAGAATCAAGTAGAGTCACATTTATAACTTGACTTTCCATCTTCTTTCCGAAAAAGCGCTGCAAGAATAAAACGGTAAATGAAAAAATCGCCGAACTGATTTTTCCACGTTGTTCACACAATGAAAGAGAGAAAGAGAACAGAAAGATTTTGTTGTGTCCATTTTTCTTCTCTTTCCATGTCAAATGTGCCGTTTTCGTAATTCGTCTTTCTCTTGATGTGGCATGTAGAATCTGTATGTGGGACATAAGGACACATTTAGAAAGGAAGAGAACAAGCAATTCTCTTCGCTTCTTTCTCCATTCGTTTGATGAAAATTTTTTCTCTTTTCTTTCTACGCGTGTTCTTAACGATCGGAATGTATATGCATCTTGTCGTATGTGAGATAAAGAATTTACGGTCTACGATAGAACTGTAATAGACCTGTTGCATGATGAAAGAGAAAGAGAAGAATATTCAAGTTTGCAACGTATCAATCGGTTGTTATAATGTGGTTACTGGCCTGTATAAGAAATGTTCTTCTTCTACTGCTTATATTAATAAATCAAATATCAGACTTTCCTATGTCGCTGTAAATCAAGTCATAAGTCATAGTTTTCTTTACTAAATCGTAGCAAGTCCTTTGAAATCTGTTAAGGTGGAAAAATTACTTGCTTCTTATCTTTGGACATTAGAGAGACATGTCGATCTATTCTGGCGCCGGTCTATATATGATCGACGTATATAGAAAAGAATTATACATGATAAAGTAGTTGAACACTTAACATGTTACGAATGTAAATATTTTTTCTCTTCCTTACTCTTATATCTTTAGCTTCATACTATGTACTGTGTCAAATAATATCAGTTCTATTTAGCTTTATAAATCAGAAAATGATGGTAATAAAAGACTTACCACCAATTCCATTATATAAACTATTATTCTACGTTTTAATTATTAAATTGATTAGTATTATATCAGTCATAGTTGGTCTAACAGGACACTGCATTTATTATACAATAACAGAAACAATACACTTAATTAAAATCATTTTATATGGTAATGATGACAATGCAATTAAATGGGAAAATACAAAAACCCTTTTTGATGCTAGTAAACGTACAAATGAATATTATATGCTAATTATTGGTAGTGGTTTTAGTGGTCTAGGATTGGCGATCAAACTTAATGAAATCGGTATGTTTAACTATATGATATTAGAACGTCATTCTAGATTGGGTGGTACATGGCATGCAAATCAATATCCTGGATGTGCATGTGATGTAGTATCAAATCTCTATTCTTTCTCATTTCAACAAAATCCGAACTGGAGTCATTACTATAGTCGACAAGATGAAATATGGAAATATTTGGAATATTGTGCAGATAAATATCATTTAATGAAAAATATACAATTTAATACAAATGTTAGCCAATGTCACTGGATTGAAGAACGACAACAATGGCGTGTAACTTTTAATGATAATCAATATTTATATGCTCAATATTTAGTTGGTGGTTATGGTCCCTTATCAAATGCAAAGTATCCTGATAACATTGAAGGTATTCGAACATTTCAAGGTGATCAATTTCATTCAGCTAATTGGGATACAAGTTATTTGCTTGATAAAAAACGTGTGGCTGTTATTGGTACTGGTGCAAGTGCTATACAAATTGTACCAGAAATTCAAAAACAAGTTAAGCAATTATTCGTATTTCAACGTACACCTGGATGGATAGTACCACGAGAGGATAGAAAGGTAACTGAATTTGAAAAGAAAATATTTGCCTATTTTCCATGGATACAAAAACTGGTACGTGGTTGTCTCTATTGGACATACGAAACAACTGTTTTATCATTTGTTTATCGATGGCCATTACGTCATGTGCTACAAATGTTGATGAAATATAATCTTTATAGTCAAGTTAAAGATCCAGAATTGAGAAAAAAATTAACGCCTAAATTTGAATTAGGTAAAGTAAGTTTTCTTTCTGTGAATAGTGATGATTCAAATGAACCGATGAGTGTCGGGCAATAATATCACTATCGTAGTGCATTGAATAAATGTTTAGAAACATAATCCCCTTAATGTGAGATATGCAAGAAACAGACACCTAAAGTTTTCAGTGAAGACAAAGTACGACTATTGACAACTCTTATTTATGTCTGTTCAATGTAAGAGCGTAGCACTTCGTACTTCAGTAGTAATTTTTTTCTGTCGAATCTTCATTTTGAAAATTGAATCGTACATTACAATTTTGTTCCTTTGTTAGTGGGATTCATTTGCAGAAAATTTCTTTGAACTCGGTTTCTTATTTTGGTTACTAAACTGAAAAGGATTTCGAATCCGTTTAAAAAAGCTCTTACGAGAAAACTACATCAGCTGTCCGATCGCTTTTTCCACAAAACCTAGTGGACAATAGGTAATCGAGTGTGTTGAATCCGAATATCATAGTGGTTTAGACCGATTTTCTGGAAAACTAGTTTTTCAGAAACTCTAAAAAATGACCAAAACCTTTCTTAATGAGGCATAATTGTAGTCCTCACATTTCTGATTCAAATGAGACATCTCCCAGCTCTAGATGACCTTTCTTTCCAAAGTTATAGAAGTTTACAAGGACAGCCCCAAACGTTCATTGTCAGCTCAAAGGTACCGAAATAAGACGAAATTAATTTAGGGCTTTTCTTGTAAATTCTACAGCTTTGGAAAGAAAGGTCGTGTCGAGCTGGCAGATGTCTCATTTTAATCAAAAATGTACGGGTTACAATTAAAGGGTGGCCGAGAAGTCCTGACTCGATTTGTATAATAATTTTTCTAAAGTAAAACACATGTTTGTAAATTTCTCTCTATGATGAAAATGCTCTACAAAATGGCTTTTGATGGACCCCGCTAGCTCATATAGTAAGAGAGTTATAGACTTAGAAATGTGCTTCACAAAAAAGAAAAATTAACCATGAACTCTCTTCTTATGGTGGTGCTTTCAGTGAAAGTCTCGTAACTCCATCAAAACAAAAGATTTTTATATCGGATTTGTTCTGTTTTGATCAGAAATGATTGCTCTTCTCTACCTAACTGCAAAATCAAACTTCGATCACATTTTCTATTTCTTGCTTTGGCACACTGTCGAAAACGGAGGTTTTCAATTTTTAAA